TAAATATTTTAGACTTATCTCAATAGTAGTTCAAAATACAAATTAAAATAATATCTCAGGTAATATTTTACAAATCAAAATATAAACTCATATAATATCAATAACAAAATTATTTTAAATTAAAAAAATTGTATTACAGTTATTAAAATATTTTAATACTAAATTTTAACATTTTCAGCCCTCTAATAATTGATTTAAAATCAAAATCGAAATGGTATAAACTAAGAAATGTAACGCTCATTGTGTCCGCTATACTGTGCATATTAATTGTCTTATGTGCACTTTTTACGATATTCAATAAACCAACAGCGGTAAATAAATATATATATATATATATATATATAACATGAAAAATGCTAAATAAAAACTACGCTTTCTAAATTGTTATATCATAAAATAAATTTATCTTTTGTTAAGAACTGTATAGCACTTTAAGAAAAAAATACAAGTCATTAAAATCTTAGCTCTATAGTTATTATATTATATTTCATTAAAGTGTTTTTAAAGTGTTGCGGTTCAGCTCCGGTTGGTCGGGAACTGACAAAACGCATAATGTGAACCGAACCGCAACACTTTAAAATAAAATAGGTTTAAATATAAAACGCGTTATCAGGGCCAGACTAGACCGATTTGCGAAACCTATTAAAAACCGTCTGGAAGCGACCCAGATGCAGGTAAACGATTTTTTGCCCACCTTTTCCGTGTTCCGATTGTATCCTATTGTATAGTAGGTAAGGGTTAATGTGACAAATAAATTGACATATTAAATCTAATATTTTTATCATACATGGTGTGAAGGTATATTTAAATACGAATTGGTTTTTACTTGATGAGTTAACGAACATTTTATCTTAAGGTTGGTACTCTTATCTATTTACGATCACGTAGCGATTTAGTACGTCAAGTGCCTTAATAGAATCGAAAGATACTTTAAAGTTTAGACTTAATAATGAATACCATTTTTAGTGAAAAAAATAAGGAAATCCGTATAATTGATAAGTTTAAATATTGTTTTATAAATTATTTATTCTTATATATTTGGATTTATTTTTATTGGTTTTTGTATAATTATTATTATTAAAATAATTATTATAATGACTATTCGTTTTACAAAATGTTATGCTTATATAATATCATACAACAGGACGCAATCGGAACATAAAAAGTCAAGAAAAAATAATTTACCTATCCGACTTGTAACTTGGATCATGACAATAATGAGTTATTAGTTCCATGGGGACAGTTTTTGACACACGATATATCGTTTTATCCTGATGATATTCGAAATACTTCTACTCCAGGTAATAATTAATTTAATAAAATAAATTGTTATAAAATTATTTATATGAATGTATACATTTCTTTGAATTAATGTGTACACGAAAACTTATTGTTTACAAATATTTATAATTGCATTTTGTGAGGAAAATATGTAAATGTAAAAATACAGTAACCATGTTAAAACTAATTGGAAAACAAGTTGATTGTAGAAACGTATATCATAAATCCGGATGTACATATATTTTCATCGATACAAAGATTATTGATGTAATGATGTGTAAACATCTATGCTATTGGTTTGTAGTACGACCTTCTTGAGGAATCGAACGTCAGGCGTAAGTCATGTAGATGTGACTGCTTGAGCGTGTGAGGCTATTGCGTACGGTATTCGCGCAGGCTATCCAACATATATAATATAATATAAAATAATAATATAATATAATATAATATATTATTATGTTATTATATTATATTATATATATTGAGATACACCGGTTTCATGGAAGAAAACACACTTAAATATTATGATTATGATACCAATCGATGCGCATTTTATTTTCTATCTAATGACATGAAAAAATGAAATTTGAATTTTTTGGAGTTACGCCGTTTGCTAAATAGGCTGATTATATATAATATATCATAATTAATAATATATAACAAATTATTATAATATATATAACTATATAAATTATATATAATAATAAAAAAGTTAAATATAAATTTTAAAGAGAACGCGATCTTGTATGATTATTGTTACCTTATTATACGAATTCCCACTCAAACCATGACATTATATTCCCCAATCAAAGTCGTACTGCAGCTAAGATATTTACACATCATTCGTGAGTACAAAAGCACTCACATAGGTTTTTTTTATACATTTTGTATAATATACATAAAAAAAATCTGACTGTTATACATTATATATAAACATAAACAAAAAGTATGACAGTATATACACATCTTTTAATATATCTAATTTTGTATAATTGTAATTTTAGCTAATTTAGATCACTGTTTTGAAAAAGACAAGACCAAAATTCAAATTGAATGTGAAACTGCTATATTAATAGCAGCAGACGACTCGGTATATAGCCAATATAATGTATCGCTGTTAAAATTTGTTCGATCTATGCCTTCAGTGAATTTTAGTTTTAGTAAAATATATCATGTCTAAAGACTTAGTCCATTAACCCAGTTAGATAATCTAACCTCAGTTAGATTGTTTTTTTGTTATAGTCCTAGACATTGGTTAAATGTGTGATGACTGGTGGATAAAGATATGAGGTTTCCTAATTTTGATCACGTTAATACGCAAAATGATTAATATAGATGTATTTTTATATAGTTTTTTATAACCTCTTATAATAAGAGCCTATATTGATTAAAACATCGTCTATTCATCTACCCATCTAAGATTGTCCTCACAAATGCTTTAAAAGCATTATATATATTATATATATATATAAGTATCTTAAATTTAATTTTGACAATTACGTCAAAATCTTAAAAATTTACGAATTATTATTCTATAGTTAAAACTACATTAAATTTCCAGTTATTACTAAGTTAAGTCTCAACAACGTAGTACAAAGATCTTAATAAATATTTAATACTGGATTAAAAAATATAGTGGATAATACAATTTTATTTTATAGACATTTAAAGTTGTAATTTGTGTGAAATTAGATAAACAAAAAATAACAGTTTTAATTATTTTGTAGTAATTTAAAAATATTTTTCATGGGAGTATGAAATTCTTATATATACCAATATATTTTATAATATACACAATGCAATTTACAAAATGTTTTAAATAATTATATGCTATTGCATATTTATACCATAAACCTATTCACGCTTTCTACGGTAAGTTTATATTGACTGATTCGTGACATAAATAATGTAATAAATCAAATATTTTTGACAAAAATTAATTCAACCTACTATATTACTAACTTTAAAATAAATTAGGAATAATTAAAGCAACGAAAATATCTCATAAAATTTACTAAGTTATATAATACGCTGTCACTTATTTCTGGTCTTCACTCGGAATCATTTTTTGTGTACAATGATTTATCATTGAATTCAAATTTATCACATACATTGCAGAGACTTAATGACGAGGCACACTCAATATATCTTGTTATCGTAAAATGATTACCTAATTCCCCTATTTTTTTAAACAATTAAATTATGAATTATATAATATAATTAGTATTAATGGTATAAATGTGGAGTCTACAGAACTCACTTTAGTATGAACGATTCTAGTTATTCCAAAAAATGTACTCTAACCAATATGCATTGGCCTTTGAAGTTTTGTAGAATTTTAAAATTATTGAAAATATTTATTATACTACGTTTAATGTTATAATTTAGATTAAAATATGTAAAAATTTAATCATTATCTCATTATAATCTCAATACCACATTATTGTTATTATTTTTTTAAGTTTTTAAACTTAACTAGATAATTAATTCTCTAACGAATTTAATAACTTTATTAAATTAATTGTCTATACTTCATAATAATTATTTAGCTTTTTTTATGAATTCAAAGAATAATAGGTATGCGTTTACAAAAAAAACTTAAGCTGTGACTAAAATCACAAGATATTAAATATTTTTTATTTAATTTTTCTGTTAGCAATGATTTTATACAATAGTAAACAAGAATTTTATGCCTGATTCAATAATTTAGTAGAAACAAACTTAAAATTTTCTAAACCATTAAATATGCAAAAAAAGAAATAGTAGGGGACGAATTAATATAAAATAATAAGTTTCACAATCACCAATAAGTAGTGTATTGTGTGTATCTATGAGAATTAAAAAAAAAACTAATTTAATTGTTTTTAATTTATCAAGTTCATATTACTTATCATATAAATTTAAAGCATATAATTAAATAAATTACGTGCTCGATAGCAATTATAAGTTAACCTTTTAAGACCCTAGGGTCACTATAGTGTACCTTACTTTCAATAATTTATTAAGTAGCATCTTGTCAACATATTAGTTTGAACTAGCGATAATTTTATTTTAGTATACATAAAAACAGATAAAATCCCGATATAAATACTATTAGAAAGAATAACAACCAATAAAAATGATATTTATAACTTAATTCTGGATGAAATATCGATAATTAAATTTCTACAATGATTTATTGCTTAACTGTTATATTGCACTTGATAAGACCAATGGTATTTTTTTCCTGGTAGTGATGTTAGTAATGAATCTATACAAACGGTTTTCGTTGTCATGAAAACAATCTTACGAGTTTTATATCCGTTAGTATGGAGGTACATTATCGTGTACGGTAGGCCTCCATGACAAAAAAAAAAGAACATGATAATTCTATTTTTATTTCGTGTTATTTTATTACCGCGTTTATAATATATAGAAATAATATTTTATAATATTTTATAATTAATAAAATTATAAAATAATATTATTAACATTATTAATAATATTTTATTTTATATTTTAATAATATTTTATTTAGAAATAATTACTATATAAAGGTTTTATTTTCTGTATTGCTTATTGTTATAATAAAATAATATATAATCAAAATGTCAAAATTACGGTCTTCTGAAATTTTATCGATATTGAACGCAAACGATTCGGAAATTGATAATTCATCTGGTGATGAAATTGACGACTTTCCACACGAAGAGTTAGATAGTCTTTTGGTAGAGTTTGCTTCAAGTGACATTGAAGAAGTCATCGAAGAAGATGATGACAGTATTATAATACAAACTAATAAAAAAGACATAAAATGGGTAAGCATGCAATTTAATCCACCGATTTTAAAATTAGATAGTTTAGATGATACAGTTCCTAGTCATATAAAAACGCCATTACAATATTTTTTAGAATATTTTGATAACAATTATTTTGAACAAATTTCTTATTTCACTAATTTATATGCAATCCAAAAATCTCAAACAAGATTTAAACCAACTTCTGCTGATGAAATTAAAATTGTAATCGGTATTCATATTATAATGGGATCGCTGAAGCTTCCTCGTGTCCGTATGTACTGGGAAAAAGATACTCGCGTACCTCTTGTTGCAGATAATATGACAAGAGATCGTTTTTTTCCAATTCGATCAAATATTCATTTTATTGATAATATGACAATACCACAAGGCAATAAAGATGTTTTTATAAAAATTCAACCACTATACGAAAAAATGAAAAAAAAAATGTAATTCTCTTTCTATGGAGAAAAATATTTGTATTGATGAACAAATGGTCCCTTTTAAGGGCCATTTATCAATAAAACAGTATATTAGAAATAAACCTAACCCATGGGGTATTCAAATTTTTATGTTATGTGGCGAAAGTGGCGTTGTATACGACTTTGTGCTATATCAAGGTGCTAATACCGAAATTGATTCACAAGTTCAAAAACAATTTGGTCAAGGTCCAGGAGTCGTATTACATCTTTGCAAAATCGTTAAAAAAAATAAACATTTTCTTTATTTCGACAATTATTTTTCATCTTTCAATCTTTTTGAACGTTTGCAGCAAATAGGTATTTGTGCCACTGGTACGATACGTGTTAATCGGTTTGCGAAACCACCAATACTTTCAGATAAAAATTTGGCAAAAATGGGAAGAGGGACTACTTTTGAAGTTCGTTTTGATGTACCTAGTTGTAACATAGGTCTTGTACAATGGTTTGACAACAAAGTGGTTAATTTGGCATCGAATTTTATTACATCTGGAAATACAGATGTTGTCAGACGTTGGGATAAGAAAAATAAAACCTATGTCGATGTCCAAAGACCTGAGATAGTACAAAAATATAATAAATCTATGGGTGGCGTTGATAATATGGACAAATTAATAAGTTATTATCGAACATTTATTAAATCACGAAAATGGACATTACGCATGATTGCCCATGCTTTTGACATGACTGCTGCAAACTGCTGGCTAACGTACATTAAAGACGATGAATATTTTAAAATACAAAAAATAAAAGATACGATCTCTTACATTTTCGAATGGAATTGGCTAATGGGTTAATAAATATCGGAAAACCAACTACGCCTAAACGAAAAAAAGGACGTCCTTGTACAAAAGATGATTATGAACCACCCAATAAAGCTTCTCCGAATTCATCAAATAGAAAAGTTGATGGCAAGCTGTCATCAAATGAACTTCGTCTTGATACGGTGGATCATTTACCAGATTTTGATGAATTAAAAAATGCCACTAAATGTAAACTGAAGACGTGTAGTCGTAGAACGCATATGTTTTGTTCAAAATGCAAGCAACATTTGTGTTTAGATGGGAAAAGTAAATGTTTCAGGGAGTACCATTTAAATGAAATAATATAACTTTACTATTTTATTTATTTATTTATTTTTATCGTTTTAAAAATACTTAGGTTAGGTACCTACCAGTGTTTTTTTTATTAAGTAAATTTGTTTTTTTTTTATTAATTTTATATAATTACTTTTAAGGAGTTTGTATTGTTTTAGGCGTTTTAGATACCTTTTAAAATTATAATTAATGTGTAAATAAATATAAATGTGTATAATTTATTACTCCTATCATCAAATAATTCACATCAGTTGAAGCCCAGAGTACACCATAGTGTACTAGCATGAATTTTCCAAGAAAATGATCGAATTTTTTTTTTTTTGATTTTTTACATATTATTAAGTCCGTATTTATACATAATATTAAAAAAAAATTTTTTTTTTCTAAAAAAAAATGTGGGTAGGTCTGAAAAGGTTAAACAACTCAAGGTAGATATTAAAGTTAACTTATCTACACTAATCTAAATTAATTGGCCATACTTAATAAATATTTTAATTATTAGTTAGTAATGGCGTACAACACAAAAAAAAAGTTTTAAAGCTTACTACTTTAAAAAATATTAGAACACAAGTTCTAATAACATATCTTGACAGGGACTTTAAACATGAGAGACACTATATTTGTGTTAATATATATTATAATGTCAGGAGCCCACTTACTACCTTCAGATTAATCTCATACTAAGAAAAAAAGAGGCGAATACTCATAAACATTAAATTTAATTAAATTTATAATTTTTATTACCTATAGTATGCTAAAAATTTAACTATAATTAAAATACAAATTAACTAAAAGATAATAAATTTACAATTTTATATAAAAAAAAATTCATAAACCTATGCAATAGAAAATTAAATAAGTACATATTTACAAGGTTAAAAGAGTTACGAGTAAGTAGTATTTTATTTGAAAATCAATAAAAACAAAATAAATACTAGTGCTTAAATGAATAAGTATTTTTTAATACCTACATAAAAATGTAAGCAGTGTTCAAAATAAATAATTTCTGAATATTGTATATTTTGTACATAATTATTTGAAAATGATAAATTATATAAACAATAAAAGTATTAATTTATTAAATAATGTGTTTATATCAAGTA